TGCGCTTCATCGCTAAAAAAATTGTCGACGATAAAATGAACGTAGTGCGCGATACGTATTCCGCACAGAACCATTATTTTCGAAAAAAATTGCACTATTTACAAGCGTTGTTCAGGCGAAAGTCTATTTATGATGAATTGCCAAACCAAACTGAGAATAAATCACTTGACAGCTGTTAAAGCGGTCGCCATCTTGAACAGTAATGCCAACTTAAATTTTATACCTTGAAAAAGCACCCTTTACAAAAAGCACCAAAATTGTGGTATGTAAGATATAACCTGTGCGCAAAATTGTTGAAATATTTATCATTTAAGAGAAACTGGTGATAATGAGCTCCACCTTAAGAATTTTCCTCCGAATGTTTTCCTGCATACTTGTATATTTAAATTGAATAACAAAAATTAAAATTTGTTTTTATTTGTTAAAGTATATACTTAGCTGACCATTCTGTCTCGATTTGGCCGGGAGAATCCGGATTCAGTAGAGGATTGCTGCCGTCCTAATTAAAAAAAGAAAGAATGAATCGAATAAAATTGTGTTGCTCTCTCACCTATTATATGTCGCGATTTTAAATAGGGAAAAATCAATTACTAACGAACGTCCGATTTCGCCTGGACAAATATGGTCAACTAAATTCATAAAACAAATGGCGCAAATTCGTAACTAAACATTTTAAAAATTGAGGGCTAAAATATTTAACATCCTTCTATATATTTTATCAACGGTTTTTACCTTGACTTTTATGTTAAGAAATGTTCAAAAATTCTACTAAAATTTCAATACAAAGGATTTTAGGTTAAGATGAAACAATTTCCGTCTTTCAATTTTGAGGTATGGCACTAGTCTCTAAGTACACATAATATGTAACGAGTATATAACAATTTTTATTAACAATCCTAAAAAAGTATAAATGTATTCACAATAATATTATACACATTCAACATATCAATATACAATATTGGCCAGTTATGATTAAATGTTATAATATTTGAGAGTAATTTCCGGATATACCAATGCATAATATTATTAATATTTGTATTAACTATTTGTATCAACTAAAATTACTTGTTTGTTTGTATAGGTGGCTCACGAATCGTGCTACAAAAACAAACCGTAGAAACATCTTTTCTATGTGAATATTGACTTACTGTTTTTATAAATGGATGGGAACGAAAAAAGTGTTTGGATAGTGCAGCGGTACCATGCTTGCCGTCATTTCCTTCCAAAGCGAGTTCAGACGGGATTTTGGCGGCACACCCCAGTAGATGGACCATTATGAGGTTGGTAAACATTTGACGAATCTGGAATTATCGCAAGAAGACCGTTCCTTCGAGATCCGTATGTTCGTGAGAAGAAACAAGGCGGTGTATAAATCCAATCTAGTCAAATCCAAGAGTTTCGACTGGCAACTGGTTGGCAATTGGAGTTAGTATTTACGCTCATACCTGATAATTCATGATGACTTAAATTCTGTTTCGCACAAAGTTCCAGAATAATTATTATCATCATATCGGAATATTATTGATTGTATCTGAAGAATGAATAATTGATAAAACTGATTTATAGTATCATGTAATATGTCGTTATTTGAAGATGTTAAATGAATTTTCTTTATCTAGAACTGCGCAAAACACGTATCTCTTTCAATACGTTTAGTTCCAGCAAGATGGAGAACCAACTACATTGCCAGACCGGTTATTGAGGAGCCTCGAAAATTGAAAACAAATTAATATCAAGAAACTCCACTTTCCTGGCCTAGAGTCACCTGACCTGACTGAACTTATTTTTATGGTGTGTAAGTAAGAGCTGTACAAAACAAAACCAGAAGTCTGACTGAATTGCAGCAGTCCATTAAATCGATAAATGAGTCAATTTATTCAACTCTTCTGGCCGCAATGAATAAATTTCATTAATCGGCATATGCGTCTGAACATGGATGTCTATTTACGATTCATATTTTAAAAATAATTAATTATATAAAATAAAATAAAATTTGCTATAAAATAAAAATAAGTGAAATGTATTGATTGGAAAAGGTAATGGTTTGATTTTCAGCAAGATTCGTGAGCCACATTGTATTAGAATGCATCCAAGACTTTCCCTTTAAACGTTGGGAAGCTATTTCAAAGGATAAACGACAAAACTATGAACCGGGTGTATAAAACTGGAGCCCGATCGATTGAGGTCATAGCTATCAAGAAATAATAATGCTAGGTTTCCACTTCGATTTATAGTCTTCGCTTTGAAATCTCAACAACTTAGGCCCAAAACAACGCGTGATGTAAAAGGAACTTCATGTTCAAGTAAGATCTAGAAAAATATGTACATATAATTTTATATTTGTACATCCAATGTTCAAACATCAAGTTTTCTATCTGCAATGATATTTAATAAATTAGTTAGAAACAATATTAAATTCAAGTCATTCTTATTTATAAACGCTTTTTGATTCTATAAACAACTGAATTTACAAAAATTTCAAATAATGCCAGACCAGTTGTTGAAAATGGTATAGCTGGAAAAGGTGAGTGCAATAGGTGCGTCTCTTTCTTACAATTAAAGCTATATATGATAATTGTTGCTACATTTTCAACAGATAAAGTGCCATACCTAAGCTCACAATAAGATACAAGACTGATATTTGGAAAGACGAAGTGCGCTAGGGAAGGGCATCTGAGTTTGACAAATTTTGAAAAGTAGAGGGCTTAATGTTCATGTCTCCAAACGCTAAAGCCAAGTTGGCAACTCTTTGCTCAGAACAAAGTTTGTGTTATATTCTCCATTTACTGTGTGGAAAATAAATCAAATCGATTATGATCCCGCCTCATCGGCTTGTTTTCAAAACTAAAAAGATTAACTCAATAGATAAAATCGTCAGATATATTATATCTTGCACCCGAGTTGCTACAAAAGGGTTTTATAGAAGCCGGTATTAAAATTGGACGATGGGCGTGGCATCGCTCATCTTTCGATAAAATCACATATTCCTGGACCTACTCAATCAATTTCAACCAAATTTGGTACAAGTTAAGCACCAATTTGTACACATAGTGTCTTTAAATTATGACATCTCAAATCTTAAAATTGTCAAAAGCGCACCAATAATTCAGAGAGAATTCTTTTCTGATAATAGTATGCGTGTAAGTAAAAAATTGGTTGAATCGGGTTAATACTTTCCTTAGCATCCATATACCTAATGTAAAAATTATCGAACTAATCATAATACTAATCATCATATAACTAATATCTGGATTTTCAAACATTCAGTTAACTTTACTCTTTATATAATATATATATGGATGATGGTATGTGAGATACCGTAATGAAACTCAAAGAGCATATTTTTCTGTGAATAATATGTAGTAATATGCAGTATAAGATTTCAAACTTCCCGTTGGCTTTATACCGAAGTCACCTTCCATTAGATAATCCTTGGATCGCTTTCTTGTCCAGGCATTCAGCTCCGTATACACATGGAAATTAGCAGTTTTCTTATCGTCTGCTGAGATAATAAAATTCCAAGTTTGCTGTGCCTTTATTTTCTAGAGTGCATTTGACAGATTTCTTAGGGAATATGCATAATAGCGATATTTTATACACTGAACGGAGCTCGAAGTCTTAATACTGTTTGTTTTAAAAGCTTAATTAAATAAATTAAGTTAATACTAAACATTCATAATTAGTCCGTAAGTAACTTTACTGCTTCTACATTGCTCCGTATTGAATTAAAAAGTTTTATTGAATTATATATCATATCAATATTTTAAGTGTTAATGGTACCAACCAACATTTTATTGAAACTTTAGGTCGTTTCTTTTTACTTAGTTAGATACTATTTTTAAGATACGTCATACCGGTAAATAAGCCACGAGTGACTAGTTGGAAACCATCATTTCACGCAATATAGATGCTAAAAGATAGAACGAGAAGTTTCCATGAAAGCGTTATTATCTGCAAATCAGAATGATTGAATATGGTACAATAAGAATTTATATGTTAAAATTTTAGCATATATGTATATATATGTGTATAAATAACACAAAACATTTACCATAAACACATTTTTTATTCACAACTAAAGACTTAATAAAGATTTCTATCGATGAACAACTTTAATTCCTAATATTTAGAGGGAATTGTAGCCTAAGAATTAATAACTCATTTAAATACTATATTACCCACTGTTCATAAAAAATATCAGAATAGGTCTTTCTTAATCTCATTATATTTTAAATATTCTATTTTTTATTAATTTTTAAATAAATAGTTTACTCCTCTGGTGAATATTTTTTCAAGCTAAAAACCTTATGCATTTATGTACCTTTTTATGTATAATATATCAAGTATAATAATATTTTCAGATAATTTAATGCAGTTAATGTCTTTGTAGGCCAACCTTTATCTAACAAATTAGTAGGTAATAAAAATATAGATTGAAATTAAAGTCTTTCATTCACAAAAACTTATATGCTTGTGTTATTGGTCCTTAGTTTAAAGATATTTAGAACAAATACAAAGAAATATTTGGAAGAATGAATTTAAAGAATTCGATATTTGCATATATAAAATTAAGTTTCCATCGTTAGAAGAACAAGGCGAACCTTCTCTTAAAGAATAAATCATAGCAAGAATATTGCAAAGTTACTTAATAAAAAATGTTTTTAAAACTGTGACTTTGATTTTTTCTACATATATATTCCTACATATGTATGTACTTGTATTTATATACTGTATTTGTATATGCTATTATTCATTAAAATTTCTAATACAATTTTTTAACAATGAGTATATAAATTATAGAGGACATTTGGTTCACTATTATATAAATTGTATACATTATAAAATAAGTTATTGATTTCTTTATACAAAGTTATACAAATAATGATACTCTACATAGAAATAAAAATATATGTATGTACTCGTGCATTGATATACATTATTACAAACATTCAAATAAGTAAACCTATATCGACATTCAGTAGTATTTGTAAATTTTTGAATTTTTTTAATTAAACCCGAGAAGTCTTTTAAACGCTCGCCTATAGTCCAAATTAAATATTGTGTAAATAACTGGATTTAGTCCGGAATTTATATAGCCCAACCATGTAATGAAATTCTTTAATTTGTTTGTTGGGCAGCAATAATCGCAGAAAGGCAGGATGACGTACATCAGGAAAAAAGGTAGCCAACAAATAACAAACACACCCATAATAATGCCCAACGTGCGTGCAGCACGTCTTTCCTTCGACAGTGATATCTTCTGTTTTTCCTCAATAAATTGATATACGCCTGCGGGTTTTTTCTGTAACGGCATTGCCACGGTGGATGTGGCACCTGTTGAAGATTGTGGTGGCGTTATTTTCAACGAAGTGTAGTCATCATTGTGTAAATCGATTGGTTTTGTGCATTCGGAGGCGAATTTCGGCATGCTTGTTGAACTTTTTCCACAATTTTCGAACTCTTTACTTTCGGCGACCATGAGCAGTAATTCTTCTGTACCAGCTATGTCGACACAAGCATTCTTTTTGTCGTCGTTGCGTTCATCATCGTTTTTTGGTTGTTGCTGTTGTTTTTTAAATCGCATTTTTCCCTGTTTAATAGAATCCTTAATTTTTGCACGTCGAGTTTTTTTTCGTTGTGCCACAACAACTGTACGTTGCTCTGTTTCTTGGTTATTATCCGCACCCCGTATTTCGTTATTGACATTCGTCTCACTGCTAACAGAGTCCTGATCATTTTGTATCGCAACTGGCGATGTTGACTGCTCAGAGGATTTGCCGCAACTAAATATTGCCAAACAAAAAGAGCCTACAGCATCTCGTCTGGCACTTGCATTATTCACGGCAGATGTGACCTTATCACCACTCTTCATTGCAATAGTATTTATTTTCGAAGCTTTGGCTCGTTCACGCAGTCGTCGTCTAGTTGCAATATAGATTTCGATGTATACGATAGTCATTACTGCTAAGGGGATGAAAAAAGATCCCAATGAAGAGTATATCACATATCCTCGATTAGATGTTAATTCACACGATGTGGCACTTGTAAATTCATCTGGCCAGTCATTCCAGCCTACTAGCGGCGGTGAACTTATTACTAATGATAGAATCCAAACACCGGCTATTAACAGCAGAACACGACCTACTGTACGCTTCTGGGCATAATTAATGGGATCCGTTATGGCCCAGTAGCGATCAAGTGCAATTGCGCACAAATTGAGTATTGACGATGTACAACACAAAACATCACAAGTTAACCACATCTTACAAACATGTATACCAAATTCCCAACGGCCAAGTATTGAATACGCTACGTTGAATGGTAATACAAGTAATGCGACCGTAAGATCGGCTACAGCCAGGGAAACAATAAAGAAGTTTTGTACTATTCGTAGGGGCTTGTAGGTGAATACACTTAAAATGACTAGTACATTCCCAATTACAGTTAAAACTATTATAATGGAGAGCACTATGGTAGTAAGGATAGCTTCCCATTCAGGTACTGCCAGCTGTATCCCAAAGTGGCCCCAGTAGAATTTTTCAGTGTCTAGAGTGCTGCTACATCCATCGATCGTTTCCAATTGGCTGCCGTTAATTGTTGTGGCACTTATGAAGGTGGTAGTTGTTACAGTGGTGCTTAAGTGTGAATCTATCGCGTTCGAAACATTCGTTAATGAAGTTTCCGCATTTTTGTTTAAGCCATAATTCTTTGGATACGAATACATGCCATTCGAAATATTTAGCAATATTTGAGTTAGTGGCATTTTGCATTTTACCACCTTTACCGTTTTTTCTCTTTAACCCTTTACAGTTCTTAGATTTTTATTAGAAAGAGTCACGTGAAAGTCCTTACCTATTCAAGGCATAACTTATATAATATTTATTCTGAAACACACAGTAAATGAAAATATTGTTAGAATTTAAAAATCAACAAATATGTTTTATGACTATATATTATAACATAGTTTAACCTAATTGTAAGTTATATTGACAGTGTTAAACACCTTTAAACAAAAGTGAAAATTTATTATAAGGAAAGGCTAAGTACAGACGCGGCCAAACATTGCATTTGTATGAATTAAAATTAGTATGGAAGAATCCAATTCTGGTGCATCCCAATATTTTATACTCTTAAAATTTGAATGGATTAAAAGCGATGAAAAGGTGTTGGCAAAGCCTTACTCTAAACATGTAAGGAAGAACTAAGGACCGATTTCATTCATATTCATTGTTAAGCAGTATTGCGGTGAAGAAACATGCCTACTTAATTTCATTAAAATATCACATATGTACATATATTGACTTATACCATATAATATAAACAGTATCAAGTCAACTGAAAAGTCGTAAATAACTATATTGATAATATTAAGGTTTCAGGATGGTTAGAGCTGATTGTTTTAACTAACTCAAACATTGACCAGTATATGGTATTACTAATAAAGTCCACTAGAATAAAAAAATTAATTGTATATACATAGATATAAGGGTGCTGGAGTAACTAGTTGACCGATTACATATATTTTGACACAAGATTATATATTTACTTTATCAATAAAAGACGACCTTTGAATTTCATGAAGATATCTGACAGATTGAACAACTATTTCAGTATTAAGTCAGCTATACGCACTGCGGTCTCCGTCTTCCACAATTTCTAAACGAGAGATGACACAATGAATGCAAATTATTATTGCGATATCTGCATTAGTGTTTGATTTGTACAATGTAAAGCAAAATAAATAGATCGAATTTAAAATTGTGTTACTGCTGCCCACTATAGATAGAATCAGTATTTCTTTGAGCGATTATGTACCTTTTATAACAATTAAATTCATTCCGGTTGTCTTTATAATGGTCAATATATAATCTTGTATATACTGCAGTTTATGCTAGGCGAAAATGTGTGACACCTATTACTTATACCATAGGTAAGTTACAGATTTTCGTAATTTTAATACNAAAAATGGTATAGCTGGAAAATGGTGAGTGTCAATAGGTGCGTCTCTTTCTTACACACTTAAAAGTAATGTATGATAATTGTTGCTACATTTTCAACAGAATTTTCTATTTAAAAAGAAAATGTTAGCTTTGAATATGTAGTGGTGAAACTTTAGAAGTGTAGAAGTAAATTGGTAATCCGTCTTGTAGACTTGTAAAATTAAATAAAAAGCTGCAATTTCTTCCTCCATTCAAAATGCAATAAAACGAAAACGGATAAAGTGCCATACCTAAGCTCACAATAAGATACAAGACTGATATTTGGAATGACGAAGTGCGCTAGGGAAGGGCATCTGCGGTTTGACAAATTTTGAAAAAGCCTAGAGGGCTTAATGTTCATGTCTCCCAAACCGCTAAAGCCAAATCGGCCACTCTTTTGCTCAGAACAAATGTTTGTGTAATATTCTCCATTTACCGTGTGAAAATAAATCAAATCGGATTATGATTCCGCCTCCTCTTCGTATAACGGTTTTCTTAAAAACTAAAAAAAGTGCGATAACTCAATAGATAAAATCGTCAGATATATTATAT